CCCGCGCGCGCCGCTTCCCTGACAGGCGCCCCGCCCCTCGCGACGGGGTAGCAACCGTGGAATGCTCGGACTTCGCAACGCCCCGCGGGGCGGGGCTGCGGCGCCCACGACGGAAAGGGCTGGCGGGGCGCGCGCCCCTCCCTCCCTGCCGTCCCATTGGCCGCGCGGGCGCAAGCCGGCCGGCTTCCGGGCGCTCCAGCCCTCCAGGCCAGCGGGTGCAGAGAACTTTCTGGGAGGTGGGCCTCTTCCCCGCTGGGCCCTCCCACTTTGCTTCTCTGACTCTAGTCACCCTGGAAAGAACTTTCCTCCAAAGGTCATTCATTCATTTATTCATTCGTGAAACCCTACGTTCCCGGCTGCTTGCTCTAAGGAATGTGATAAACAGAGCTAGTTCTCCTCCAAGCCTTCGTATGTCTTCACTTAGTACGTCTTAAGGCAAACTCTGAAACTGACGCACAGTCACTGTCACACAGCCTGTGGCAGAGCTAGGACTGGGAAGCTGGTCTTCCTGCTCCAGAGTCTGTGCTCTACACCACTGCAACTTAAAACGGATTCCCAAACCTGTCCCCTCGGCATAGTCTGGGAGCTGGTCAGAAATGACCACTCTTGACCTGCCGAATCAGAATCTGCATTTTTCTAGATTCTTGTGCCCTTTAAAGTATGAGAAACCTTGGCCTAAATCAGAATATTACAGAAATACAACAGGACAAAATTCAAGGCCTCGCCTTGTTATTAAGTTAGTTGTGTGACCTTGGACAAGTCCTTAAAGTTGGCCTTCATTTCTGCTTGGGTTAAATGGACAGAGAAACTGGATTCTCACTGAAGGGGTTTTTTGTCCAGACTACAAGACCGACCGATTGTCATTTCTTCCACCGCCCAAACTTTGCATTACTTTATATATAGTTTTACGAGAAGCTGGCAGACAATAGACCTCCAGAAATGTCCCAAACTGGAGGAAGCCTTGGGGATCCTCTCGACTTAGGAGATACTAAGGATGTGTCTCCTTCCTTACCAAGGAAGTGAGTAACTAAAGAAAAGAAACTATGTAGAAAGTGTAAGTTCTACGCTAACCATTTTCTCAGTTAATTGTTCTTTCTTTTTTTTCTTTTCTTTTCTTTTTTTTTTTTTTTTTTTTTTGAGTTGGAGTCTCACTCTGTCGCCCAGACTGGACCTGCTGGGCTCCAGAGATCCTTCCACTTCAGCCTTCCAAGTCACCGGAACTACAGGCGCGCCCTACCACACCCGGCTAATTTTTGATTTCTTGTAGAGATGAGGTCTCACCAAGTTGCCCGGGCGGGTCTCAAACCCGTGGGCTCAGGCAGTCCACTCACCTCGGCCTCCCAAAGCGCTGGGATTACAGCCTGAGCCACCAAGCCCGGCTGCCCATTTTCAAAATGTTTGTTTCTTTTTTTTTTTTTTTTTTTTAGTTGGAGTCTCACTCTGTCGCCCAGACCGGAGTGCAGTGGCTGGAGCCGTCACCGCAGCCTCGATCTGCTGGGCTCCAGCGATCCTTCCACCTCAGCCTTCCAAGTATCTGGAAATACCGGTGCGCTACCACGCCCGGCTGATTTTTTTATTTATTGTAGAGATGAGGTCTCACCAAGCTGCCCAGGCAGGTCTCGAACCCACCGGCGCAGGCAATCCACTCACCTCAGCCTCCCAAAGCGCTGGGATTACAGGCTGAGCCACCGAGCCCGGCTTAAACACACATTTTTTAATGGGTTCATCACAAGCTTTTGTAAGCCTTTTTCACTAAAAAACATAAGTTGTTAGCACTTTTCCATGTCATTAAATATTCTAGGACATCATTTAATGGCTACATAGTATACCATTCCATGAATGTACATACCGTATTATTGGAAATGTAAATTGTTTCTAGTTCTTCCTAATTAAAAATAAAACTTTGGGTTCGTGACCCACCCGGGCAACTTGGCGAGACCTCATCGCCACAATAAATCAAAAATTAGCCGGGCATGGTAGCGCGCACCTGTAGTTCTAGCTACTTGAAAGGCTGAGGTGGAAGGATCGCCGGAGCCCAGCAGGTCGAGGCTGTGGTGGCCGGGAGCAGCCACTGCGCTCCAGTCTGGGCGACTGAGTGAGACTCCAACTCAAAAAAATAAATAAATAAAATAAAATAAAACTTTTTTGTGGTAATATGTTTGTGCACACTCATGATTGCTTCTAGAAGTGAATTAATTTCTAGAAGTGGAATTTCCCAATCTAAAGTTATGAAACACTCTAAGGCTTTTGATACAGTTCTTATTGCCAAATTTCTCCACTGAGAGGCCGAACCAATCTACTCTAACAATATTAGATATCTATTTTTCTAAACAAATCTACCAACTAGTAAGATGAAAATGGTTTATTAGTAAAAATAAATCTATTTTGGCATACTATTAGACATTTACATTTATTATGTAAATTACCTTTTCATGGATCCTTTGTTCATTCTTTTATAGTTGTTTGTTTTCTCTTATTGATTTATAAATGCTTATTACAGTTCAAAGATATTAACCCTTTTTTGTACTTTTTTCCTTTGTCATATATTTTGCAAAACAAAATTTTAGTTCATTGACTAATTTTTGATTCATGATGAATTTCTTTCTTCAACAAATAGATGCTTTTAATAAATATTTTTAGGCCAGACTCGGTGGCTCAGCCTGTAATTTCAGCACTTTCAGAGGCTAAGGCAAGTGGATTGACTGAGCTCGCGGGTTCAAGACCAGCCCGGGCAACTAATAAATCAAAAATCAGCTGGGTGTGATAGTGCGCGCCTATAGTTCTGGCTACTTGGAAGGCTGAGGCAGACGGATTGCTGGAGTCCAGCAGGTCGATGCTGGGGTGGCCGTGAATGTGCGACTGCATTCCAGCCTGGGCGATGAAGTGAGACTCCAACTCAAAAAGAAAAAATAATAATAAATAAATAAATATTTTTAAATATAAGGTTTATTTTTATGGAGCCTTATTTATCAACATTTTGTTTAATCATTTCTGCCTTTGAATCATACATTTTCCACCCCAAAATTATATAAATAGTAGAAGAAAATGTGGGAAATATTTATACAGGATTTTATCACCCAGGGATCTTGTCGAAGAGGCAGATTCTTGGACTCTGCCTCAGAGCGCCTCATTCTTCAAGTGTGTGATGAGACCCCAAAGTCTGCATTTTCAAGAGTACCACCAATAAAGGCTTTTTTTTTTTTTTTTTGAGTTGGAGTCTCACTCTGTCGCCCAGACTGGAGTGCAGTGGCCGCTCTCCGCCACTGCAGCCTCGACCTGCTGGGTTCCGGCAATCCTTCCGCCTCAGCCTTCCAAGTAGCTGGAACTACAGGCGTACGCTACCACACCCGGCTAATTTTTTGATCTATTGTGAGTTAAAGTCTCACTCTGTCACCCAGGCTGGAGTGCAATGACATGCTGGCGGCCACCCCAGTGTCGACCTGCTGGGCTCTGGCAATCCTTCCGCCTCAGCCTTCCAAGTAGCTGGAACTACAGGCGCATGCTACCACACCCGGCTAATTTTTGATTTATTGTAGAGATGAGGTCTCACCAAGTTGCCCAGGCATGTCTCGAACCCGCGGGCTCAGGCAATCCACTCACCTCGGCCTCCCAAAGTGCTGGGATTACAGGCTGAGCCACCGAGCCCGGCCAAGGCTTTTTTTTTTTTTTAGTGTAAATCTTTTCTCTGCATTTATTCAATGTATCCTATTAAGGGAACTCTAGCTTTATTTTTCCCATGTGATCTACCAGTGTGTCCCACAGCACTGATTTAATAACCTGTTCTTTATTTCACTCACTTTCCTGCTATAAGCATCCCTGGGCCTGCTTAATGCATTTTAGATGATGCCTTATTTTGATCATTCACAGCCAAATACTTTCAACTGGGAATTGGCCTTCAGAATTCCTGATAGTTTTGTCTAAGAATCCTCATCTGGTCTTTACTCCAATACCAGGCATAAAGGTGCCTAAATAAGACATCAAAAGCTCATTCAGTCTGAAATAACTATTGCCCCCACTTCTAGAGAGAACTGGCCCTTCAACTACAGCAAGAGGGATGTAAATTAGATAGCAAGGAAAAATTCCAAGTAGAAAATTGCATGGGGCAGGGTGTAGGGGCTCATGCCTATAATCCCAGCACTTTGGGAGACAGAGGCAGGAGGATTGCTTGAGCCCAGGAGTTAGAGACCAGCCTAAACAACATAGGGAGACCTCATCTCTACAAAAAAAATTAGCCAGGAGTGGTGGTGTACATCTGTAATCCCAGCTACTCAGGAGGCTTAGAAGGATCAGCTGAGTCCAAGAATTTCAGGCTACCATGAGCCGTGATTGTACCACTGCCCTCCATCCTGGGTGACAGAGCCAAGACCCTCACTCAGAAAAAAAAAGAAAGAAAAAAAAGGACAGGAAAGAAAGCAGAATATCCATCTCTGCAGACTTCTAAAAACAGAGCAGGGCCTCTCATTGCCCTTTCCATCTCCCCAGTATCCCTGCCCCATCCCTGGTCACCCTAGTTCCTCCACTTGAAGTGTGCTCTCTGCTCAATTTATTTATTCATCCTTCCAGGCTCAACTCAGGTCTGACTCCTCTAGGAAGCCTTCCTGGAATAGTCCAGCTACAGGACCCAACCCTCCCTAGCCCCCAAACTCCTGCAGATCCCACTGCACATGACCTGCAGTGAACTGTCTGCTTCCGGAACTGCTCTCTTCCCCTAGCCAGAGCATAAACTTCTGGAAAAGGGAAGACAGTTCACCTGCACTGAGCTCCAACTATGTGCCATGCACCAGGCAAGGTGTTTGCAATCCACCATCTTGTGCTCTAAGAATAGTTTTT